ACACACTTGGTACTTAAGTCGACACTGCCGTGGTGTTCAAGGTCAAAACTTTATCTACCTTAATATTGGTAGCCAAAAATCTGTATTTTTTACAAATGCAATATTCCATTGCCAAAAGTGAAACTGCACCGGCTGTCCCAAAGGCCTCTCTGCGTGTATTTGTGTGTGTAGGACCTGTCTTACCTGTCAGAACTCCCTGGCTGTCAGTGCAGCCACAATTAACTGGCAGCTCGTTGCTAGAGCAGAGCTGATTAATGTGGGTACCTGCAGCTGACTCAAGGACATCCAGGAAAGCACAACAGAAACTGAGAATGTTGATCACCATTGTTCCAAAGCAAGTATTCCATAAATACATAACCAGAAAGAAAACAGCCTTAGCTTTTATGTTCTTTTTTTTTTTTTTGCCGTCCTTTACTGTATTTTTACAGCTTGGGATGTAGAATTTTGAATTGCAGGAGGCTGGGAAGTTCTCTCACACTTTCTTCAGTGGCATCTGTCACCTTAGGTTGAGTAAGTGCCAGGATCATGTTTTTTCCCAATAACAGGCAAGAGTGCCCAGGGAAGGCTTACAGGTGTTTTAGATTTAACAAGGACATTCTTAAAACAGAACAGTGCCAGGGAATTTAATGAGACAAGACTTTGAAGGACTAACAAAGCAAGTTTCAAGGAGGTAGAGGAGTGACAGCAAGTACTGTAGAAATCCGCCACTGTGTCTTCTTCGTTTGTGCATTGCTGTGATGCCTTTTGCCCGGTTTGCTAGAGAGAGCAAGCCCAGTCCTGTGTTATTTCATCATTTGGGGGTTTGGTTTTTTTTCTTTTTTTAATTGGCTGTAGCATTTTTCTGTCAGAAATGAATGCTTCCTTCTCCCTTCACCAAAGCAGACAACTCCTCTGGTGGAACCTGGAGCTGTCCTGGCGAGCTTGATGGAGCTGGATCTGGCAGGAATGCTGTGTGCCATTAAAGAGCTATCCCTTTCCTTTGAGCTCATTTCTTTTTTCAGCAGCTGAGACAATGATACTTGCATGTCTGTGTTGCTTTGCAAGGGAAGCTTGTAAATTCCAGAGCATCCTCGTGGGTGAAAACTTCTGTGAAAAAGAAAACTGATTTTATTATTTTTGGTAACTTTGTGGAGAGAAAAGAGTGTTTTGCAATCATCAGCTCTTTTAAGGGAAAGTCAGGCTTTCTGACACACAGGGCTGCAAGAAGCATAAGCACATTTTCTTGGCCCTGATCCTGTGCTAGTTTCCTCCTCTTCACTCCAAAACTGCAGTTTCAGAGTCTCCGAGGCCTTATAGGTTTCTCAAATCATTAAGGATGTTTCTAATGTTCTATTTAACCCTGGGCTCTTATTCCACTGGGATATGAGGCAGTGTAATGCATGTCAGCTTCCCAGAAGGGACAGTACATGCAAACCCCAGGGGAGCAGGGTGAGCCTATCCCAATATTCCTCTCTGTCAGGGGCCTTGGGAAACCACCTCTCATCTCTCTTGTTTACATGGGAATGTGAGCACTGCTGAACAAGTTGCTTAGCACTGTGTCTGTGGCTTTCATCTGCTGTTCTTGCTGCAGTTGGCATGTACCATATTGGCTGATGTGCAGCAAAGAAAATAGTCTTTGTGTGCTAAATGACTAATCTGTACTCATGTGCATATGCAAAAACAAGGAGTGTCCTCCAGGAAGTGGGGTGGTCGTGAAATTCATATGAACTCCCCAGGACTCTCCCCTTTCTCCCTCCTCTTTTTACCATAATAAAAATTGAAAGGTTTATACAACAGAATCAGAGTTGGGTTTTCTGCCAAGTGCTACACGTGTCAGCTCCTCTACCAACAGAATTTCTGTTGAGAGGCCAGAGCCAGACCAGATGGGATGAATATCTCATCTGTACTTTGCACTCTCCTTTAATATCAGTAATAGCAGGACCTTGTGTGCTGAGGGGCTCAGAAGGCTGTCAAGGAAAGTATTGTACCATTTTTGCAATATCTTTTTAAAAAGCTTCACCCTGTGCATACAGTGCTGCAAAAGCAATTCAGCTTGTCTGGAAACAGCCAGATCATTCATTTAATTTTTTGCAACAGCAAATTAAGAAAAGCACTTTGATTTTGTAGAATACTACTTTGATTTTTGTAGAAAACTGCTTTGATTTTGTAGAATAACTCATTCAGGCTTGGGTGGGATTGCATTCAAGATCAGACTCAAGTCAGTGCATCTGTGACTGGAGTGGGACCACCTTGCTCCAGGGGTGAATCAGAGGTGCAGCTTGGGATGGTGTCCCAGGGACAAATACTCCTAAAACAGAGTAATAACTTGCTTCCCTGTCTTTGCTTGCAGCTCTGTTTCTTGTGTCTCTCTAGGCACTGAGTTCTCCCTTCCATGAGAAGCTCATGGGGGTATTTTTGCTCTTTGATGCTCAAGATTATCCCCATCCACCTTCATGCTGTAACTCCTCTCCCTTCACAACAACAGCACTTGCTTTTCTTGCTCCTGCCTCTCTTCCTGCAATTTATTTACATTTTCACCACTGTTGGGTCCAGATTGTGTTGCAGATATGTTACCTATGGTTCCAGGCAGAGGAGTTCATCCATAAAGGAAGAAGTGGGGATGTTGTACTTGTCCAGCTGGGTGTTTCTGTGCTCCAGCACCACAAAATCCTCCCTGTTCCTGTGGCTGTCAGCAGGATTCCCATCAGTCAAGCCAGCCTTTCCACACTGTCACTGCTGTCCCAACAGGGCTGCCAGCTCTCTGTGGCACGTCTGGGTTTGCCTGGCCACGTCTGTCCTGTGCTGTCACCTCTCTGTCGTCCCTGGGGTGTCTGTCGTTCTTGGAATGTCCCAGGTTTTGTGTGGCTGCAATCCTGCCATGCCTGCATGGAGATGCTTCTCCCAAGGGTTCCACCCTCAGCTGGGGATGAGTGCTGAGGATCTCCTGTGGTGTTTGTTGGCTTTCTGTGCCAGCTTTGGGCTCTGGACTGCTGTCCTAATTCTCAGCCCACTTGGTTTGTGGCTCTCTGGACCAGCTATTGCCTTGTCTGAGCTATTTCTCCAATTTTTGCAGTGGAGCTTAGCACAGGGACAGCCATGATCTTGCTTCAGATTTTTTTTTGTTTTGGCCAGTTTTTGCTCAGCAGGAAAATGCCTCTGCAGGCACCAGCAGTGCAGGGACCCTGCCTGCCCACCCTGAAGCAGGGAAGGAGCTCTCAAGGACAGGAGAACAACAATTCTTTGTATCATTCCCATGCACCAGCCTTGGTTGGGAGGCAATTCCTCCCTCCCTTTCTGTCCTGGCAGGAGTAGAGAAGGGGCACGACCGTGAGCTGGAGGGAGCAGGATCGGGTTCTCCCTTTGCAGTATTCAGTGGCAGCTCTCACTTTGTGGTCTCCCTATTTTTAACATCGCCCCAGGGCCGGGCTGGCTCCCTGTTGCAGTGAAGAGGAGGCTCTCGGGGAGAATTTGTGACCGTGAGAGGTGGAGTCGTGTTGGATTTGAACATGTGAGGGACGAAAGTGACACCGTGCGAGAGCCCCGGGCAGAGGGAGGGCTGGAAGTGTTTCTGGAGAGCACCGGGGTGGCTGCAGCTGCAGAGAGAACCTCCCTCCACATCCTTCCACCTCCCTCCACATCCTTCCCTTCCACATCCTTCCCTCCCACATCCTTCCCTCCCACATCCTTCCCTTCCACATCCTTCCCTCCCACATCCTTCCTCTGGGATGTGGGGATGGGCAATCCCAAATTGCCTCGAGGTTACCTGTGCTGGGCTGGGGGTGGAGGTGCTCCTCCTGCCTTTCACAATGTGCTCCTTTTCCTTTTCCTTTTCCTTTTCCTTTTCCTTTTCCTTTTCCTTTTCCTTTTCCTTTTCCTTTTCCTTCCCTCTCCCTCTTTTCCTTTTCTTGCCTTCTAACAAACAAGAAGGCTTTGGAGTTTCCCTGCTGCTGTAGATTCCTTATCTTTCAAATCTCATTGCATCAACTGCCAAGGCAGCTTCCTCAACACCCCCTCAAGCTGCAATTCAGCTGGGCCAGGGGGGATATTTTCTGGTTAACTCACAGGTTCTTTCCCCTACAGCCATTTCAAAGCAGTTTCAGTAATTAAAATTGACTGGCTGGATTTGGACAGCATTTCCCTGAATCCCTGTGTGTCCAGCTGGGAGCTTGCTTTCTGCCCAGAGGTGTGACAGCCATAAGTGCTAAAAGAAAAAGAAAAAAAAAATGTATTTTAGCTTTGCCTATTCTTGTTTTACCTCTGCATGAACAATATTTAATGTAGAACAACGAATGTATCTCAGTTATTGTCCAGCTGTGTGAGAGAAACTGGATAAACTCGCTCAGTTTTATGCTTCTTGGTGATTTCAGACTGATTTCTTGAAAGGCAGCTCAAGTCCTCCAGCATCTTATGGGTTAACTTGGGTTCTGCTTTTTTGAAAAAAGTTTGGTCAGATATGATCATTCTCCCTTTGCAATGCACAAGGAGATAACAATTAGATGTACTTCCTTTTAATGAGGGTCTGGGTCTTGGCACGGCATTTACAAGGAGGTTAAGGAGACAAGAAACTCCTATAACAGGAAGAACATTAAAGTTTGTCTTCTGTTAATTATAATATGAGCTTAGTGGACAAAATTATTTTAAAGAGCTCATTAAGATTAAAACATCTTCATACCTTTCTCAGATTTCTATGGTACTTGACAGTAAATTGTTAATGTTTTGTGACACTGCAAAACAGGATTTTCTGGCTTTTTTGTTTTGTTTTGTTTTTTGGCTTTTTAGGAGAGAATGTACATGAAGTTTTAAGGAGTAATACTGAACAGATGGGTGTGCATTTTGATCTAAGGATGATGCCCAAGAGGCTGTTTAACAGGTGAAAAATGTCAAAAGACTGGCACAGCAATGCCTGTGTAGTGACTAGATTAAGTTTTGGAATTCAAAAACACCAAGAAAAAGCCCTCACTTTTTGGCTCAGTATTTAATTATTTGCATTTTTTCACATTTAAGATATCAGCTAGGAAGAGCTGGAATCTTCTGGCAAGAACAGCAGCTTCCTGTATAGTTCAATCAAGGCAGAAAAATCCAGCCAGCAAATGCAGAGCACAAGATGAACTGACACTGTGTAAGTTATTGTGGCAATCTGATTCATCAGAATCCATCATCTGCTTTCACTGTGGAGAGAATGGAGCAGCAGGGATGCACACAGAAAGTGTTTTAGCAGCCTGAGAGCACAATATAAATGTAGAATTGGAGCACTGGAAATTCGGGCCAAGCATTAATGGCAACACTTTGCTGCAGTGTGCTGAGCAGAGAGCAGATCCATGGAGAGGCTTGGAACTGCAGGGTGAGGGGGATCCAGGTGCAGTGTTTGCTCTCTCTGTGACAGCCTGGGCTGGGTTTCCTCCCTGTGTGTCTGTGTCAGGCTCCTCCTCCTGCTTGGACAAAGCCCCTCTGCTCCAGGTGCTGTCCTGGGGATATTCCACTCCCAGTGCTGCTGAGCCCTGTGGATGCCAGGCTGCAGAAAAAGGGAGGAACTGCTGCTCTCAGCACACTGCCTGCTTTGGGGAGAGAGCTGGACACATCACAGAATGGGTTGGCTTGGAAGGGACTTTAATGATCATGCAGTTCCTACCCCCTGCCATGGGCAAGGACACCTTCCACTAGTCCAGGTTGCTCCAACCTGGCCTTGGACACTCCCAGGGATCCAGGGGCAGCCACAGCTGCTCTGGGCACCCTGTGCCAGGGCCTCCCCACCCTCACAGGGAAGAATTTCTTCCAAATACCTAATCTAGATCTACCCTCTTCCAGTTGCAGCCTATGAGGAATTTCCTGGGACAGAGCTCACTGTGAGCAGGTGTGGCCTGCCTGTTGTGTGTCTGTGTTTGCAGTGAAGAGCTTCCATCAGAGAGGATGTGCTGTGACTGCTGGAACTGCTGCTGGAGCTCCTTGAGGACACTCACGAGCCCACCTGGATGGAGGTTTGGAGTTTGGGACTGCCCATGGGAGCCCTGCTGGAATTAGCACTAAACTGAACCTGTCTCATTGCAGCCCACAAAGGGCTCTGCTTGTATCTGTTGGCTTAAACTGATGAAAAATATCCTGATTCCTGGTATCTGTCCTGGGTGAAGAGCTCCCTCCCCTGCAGAAAAGCAGAGGAGTGCTTTACTGTGCAGCAAATCCTGTGCAGTCAGTGCCAAGGAAGCACTTTGGGGCAGAGCCCAGCAGTGCAGGGACGCTGAGATCTGTCTGTCCCTCTCCTTGCCAACCAAAGCCAGGCAGCACTGCCTGCTGGTGGCAAGGTGGTGTTTTCCTGCTGCAGGTGAGACTGTGCTGAAGGGCTGCCACGGCAGCACCGTGTTTATTAAAGGATCACACTTCTTCCACAGCACAACTTCATTTTCAAGAGCACAGAAGTTTGTTCAGAGCAGACAGATGGCCTCAGATCAGCTTCTGCTGCAAATGACTGCTTGAATCTTAGGTACGAGGCATGATTCAAACCTGACTGCTGGGGGTGCCAGGAAAATAAATGATAGCTGCCAGGATTGCAGTCTGTTGCCCAGCTAATTCCCAAAATCTCACTCCTGCTACTGAGAGCTGACAGCAGGGTTCAGAGATGACAAATGATCAGAAAATAACACAGTCTGTGCAGGCCTTTGGTCTGATCTCTGTCCAAGCCTGAAAAGTCAGCACTGGTCCTCTGCAAATGCTGCTCTTTGGTCCCAGAAGATACAGGTCACACATGGAATTTATGATTAATCCTCATTGTTAGAGCATGAATCTTCAGCAAAGGATAATTACTTTAATTAGTTCTCAGTGTTTTGTACTGTCTGTGGAGAGATACCTGCTTACTTTCCTCCCCTGAGACCTGGTCTCTACAGGACCTGCCTGAGGTGGGTGAGGGGATATTTGTACCCCCAGGGCTGGATGCAACATTCAAACCACTCTGACAGTATCGAGTATGGGCCAGGAAAGCTTAAAATCTGTGCCAGGGCTTGGGCTGAAACTGTGTTAAGGGCTGTTTGATACACTGTTTAGTGTTTCTAACTTTCTTGGGTTCATTTAAGTGTTTAGGAACTGGTTGTTTGCCTTTTTGTTACAAAACAGGTAATGGATACAACCTATAATTTCTGACTTTGGCTTAAAAGCTCCCATTGCCCAGGAGGTTTCGAAGCTCACCCCTTTTACTTGTTTGTTAAATCTTGATTTTATTGAGCTTATCTTTGCACACACCTGATTCCTTACCCCACCTCAGAAATAAACCTCGTCATACAAATTCCGTACCTCATTTTACACCTCTCCCAACAAAACACAACCTCTCGGTCACACGGGTCTCCCTTGGAAGGAAAGAGCAATTTGCAGCAGTTCTTTGCCCAGCTCCTCGTGCCTCCCCCCGGCGCAGAACTCGGCTGAGAGCTCCCTGAAGGTGATGCAGACGCGGCGGTGCTGGATGTGCCTGCGGCGGATGCCGTGCTTCCACTTGTACCGCGCGTCCCCGTGCAGCACCACCAGCGACCTCTGGGGCAAGAGGATGGCCACGCTCACCTCCTTCCCCGGAACCAGCCTTGGCGACAAAAAACACTCGGTTCCCTCTTCTCCTGGGCTTCTGCACGCTGATGTCTGCGTGGAAGGTGCAGGGGGGGTTAATCCCTCCTTATTGGAAATAGGAAATAATTGGATGGTGTCCTCTGAGTCGCAGGACATGGAGAGCACAGTTTTTGAGAGCAGGTTCAGGCTGACCAGGCGCTCCCCCCAGAGCCACCAGTCATCAAAGTGGGGGTCGATGGCAGAGCCTCTCTCTGGTCTGTAGTCCAGGTTACACTGTTCCACAGGTGAGAAACCACTGAGCACAGCACAGGCCTTCATCTGTGCCACAATCTTCCTGCTGAAACTTGGCAAGCCAGTAAAGCTGCCAGCTTTCAGCCTTTGTTTCTTGAAGTTCACTTTGGGTCCGTAGTCCTGTTGGAAAAGAAGAAGGAGGGGAAAGCTAGTGTAAAGGAAAAATCTAGGACAAGTCTTTTTGGAGAGGCTGTTCCTGCAGAGTTCTGTTCTCATCTCTTCCAGTGACCTGGTTGCCAGGTTGCAAAAGGACTTGGTGAATCTACATTAATCTCTCTGGATTTGTAAAGTAAAACCAAATCTGAACACCCACTTCTTTCCCTTGGAGATTGTGTGAACTTTAATGCTTGAACAGACACCATCAAATACTGTTTATTGTAACTATCATGTATTTTTGCAAGAAGTTGATTTTAATTACAGATAATTCTTGCCATTGATTTCAGGAAAAGCTTTCAAAGGAAAACACTTCATGAAACATCTCACTGTTGTGGGTTTTAACTGAAAACAGCTTTCCTTTTCCAGAGGGATCTAAGATCAGATGTGCTTCCAAAGTCCAACCTGTTTCTTTCGGCCAGACTGTGATGGTTTCCAGTCATCTCGATCCATCAGTTCTACTATCTCACACTCTTCATCTTCACTAATGAACTCCTCCACCAGGAACACCCCTGGAAAGGGAAATGCCCAGCCAGCAAATTCTGAGTGCTCATTTCCTTTAGCTAGGCCTGTTGCTGGACAGTAAGTGAAATTATCTTCTCCCTGTGGAAATATCAACGGAAAAGGAAAAAGAAGCAATAAGATATTTCCATTATTTACCCCGACAACCTTGCTATTGCAGCATGAAAACTGCACAGTATTCTTGCAGACAGAGAAATTTTACAGCTGCTTTTGGGGAACAGCTATTCCCTGCTCTTTTTTTCCAGCTGCAGCATCAATGTGCTGCTTGTTTGAAGCCACTTTTTTTTTTTTTTTCCTAGTGATGTCTTTATCCTGGAAAGGCAGGGAAGAACCGATGATCCCTAGGGCCACAGGTATAAGGAGATTAATGGTGGGTATTGCTGCAGAGATATGGTTTGTCATAGCAATAAATGCTGAATGAGGAAAGTTGATAAAAATCGCACAGGCCACAAGGCTGAGCTGTAACAAACGAATGTGAACGTAACACGTGAGGCTCAGGTGAGCTCCGACTCTGAGCGTTATTGAGGCGAACAATTCATAATACCCGAGCAGGGGGGCGGCCGCCGGGGGGGCTCTGCCCCGGCCCCATCCTGTGACCCTGCGGCCCCGGGGTCCCGGCCCCGCTCCGGGCGCGGGGGTCCCGCTGCCCCCCGGCTCCTCCCGCCCTCCTGCCCGCCCCTCCCTGCCGCCCGCCCCTCCCCGCCCCGCCGCCCGCCCCCTCCCCGGTACCTGCGGGGGCGGAGCGGTCGGCGTGGCCCCCTCGCAGAGCAGGCAGGAGCGGATCCCCTTGCAGCCGCAGCCCGGCCCTCCGCCGCCGCCCGCCGCCTGCATCCCGCTGGCTCCCGCCTGCACCCCCCTCCCCGCTCCCGCTCCTCCTCCCGCCCTTCCTTCCTCCCCGGCTCCTCTTCCTCCTCCTCGGCCGCTTCCAGGTGAGGCCAGCGGGGCTGGGCGCAGGCCGCGCGGTCGGGCAGAGGGGGTGGAAGGGGGTGCGGGCGGACTCGCGCTCCCAGCAGCCCCCGCGGCGCGCCCGGGCTCCGCGCCGCTGTTCGGCGCCGCGGGGGACGCTGGGAGTTGTAGGCGCGGCGCACACCCCGCGGGGGCGCCTCAGGCCGTGGCCGGCGCCGGCTCCTCGCGGTGCTCGGTGTCCGGAGGCGGCGGTGACGGGCGAGGCCTTGGCCGGAGCCGCACCTGCCCCGCCCGGCCCGGTCCGGCCCTGCCCACGGGCGGAGCCGCGGCCTGCGGCCGGGGATACCCCGCGGCCCGGAGGCCGCCCGGCGGGCGCGGACAGCTCGGCATCCGTGGCCTTGTTACCGCCGCGGCATCGCGTCCCGGGGCAGCTCCACGCGAACACGTTCAGGTCAGGGGATGCCCGGTCCTGGGGCTCCAACCCGAGAGCTGCGGGGGGCAGGAGGGGCCCGTTTCCTCTGCAATAACCCCGGCGTTCGGCACCCCCCGGTAACGGAATGTGCCTCTGCAGCATCCCCGGGGCTGTGGCATGGGACTTGCCGTGTCTGGCCTTCCCTGCAGCTCCTGCCCTGTCACGGCTGTGCCAGTGTGCCAAAGAGAGGGCCATGGCAACGTCCAGTCACTGGTGTCACATTTTTATTGTAAACCTGAGGGAGGTTTGGTTGGACAAGCCTGACCCTGTGTTTGGACTCTCAGGGAGAGCTCTGTCGTTTGAAGGATCAAATCCCAAAGAGCTGCTGTTTGAGCTGGTTTTCAGTTCAGCTCTTTGTGCTTGTATACAATACTTCAGTGTATACGATATTCAGTGTATACGATATTTCAGTGTATAGGATATTTCAGTGTATACAATATTTCAGTGTATACACTATTGTGCCCCTCCCTCATGACACAATGTTGCAGGTGCTGTAGGTGTGTGCTGCTGTTGAAACCAAGCCCAAGCACAGCTCAATGCCCCGTGTGCCCCTCACGATGTGCTGGAGTGGCATTTAGGCAGCACTGATCTAACACAGAAAGACAGGAACGAGCCTGGCCTTGGAGCTCTGTTCTCTTTTATTTCCCTCTCTTGGAATCTGTATCAGAAAGAATGGGAAGCCCTGGACCAGTCATTTCATGGAGCTCTTTTGGCCCTGTCAGCACTGTTATTCCAAATATCAGCATATCCCTCTGTGTGTGTGTGTGTCTACTGAAACATCAGTTAATCACCAACAAGACAGACAACTCTGTTGATTTTTATTTTTTTCCTTAATGAGGAAATGATGTCCTTGACTGGTTAATTCAGTTTTCCAAAATTTTTGAGAATTTAAAAGTCATCAGGCAAGAGTCTGTCCAGCTGGCCAGACCAGTGAGCTCAGTGTCACTTTTTTGGGAGAAAACCATTCACAGCAGGTGTGTTGACTGCTGCTTTTTGTTTGAAAGAATGTTGGAATTCCTGGAGCAGAGCCCGGGAGAGGCACAAGCAGGTACCTGTGATGCTGTCCTGGTCCTGAGTGCCATCACTCATGGACAGCTTTCACCTGCAGCAAGTCTGTCACTCCAACAGCCACAGGATGTATCCCTGTTGTTTTGGAGATGGATTGGATCAGTGTGCTGGGAGCCTGTGCCCAATCCAATAATAATCTCTGCCATGTTCATTTTAACCAAGTAAAAAAAGTGACTTCCAACACAGCAGCAAAACCAGCAGATAACCTCATAATTTTTTTTTTCCCCTCTCTTGGAGCTGTTGAAAAATTTTCTCTTATTCCCATTTGTTTTATCAAGGTAACCAGAAGACATCCTACAGCTGACTGATTGGTGATTCCAGCAAAGAGGTGGAGGTTAAAAATGTCCAAAATCACCACAGAACTTCTTTTGGAAAGAGCAGTTCCAAGATCTACGAGGCTCCGAAAGATTGAGACACTCAAGTAAGTGGAGACAGGCCCCTGGAAAATTCCAGATTAATTCAACCTGGCAATGGCTTTTTATCTGTGTGTCTTTCTTCCCCTAAACATCTTTTTTACTTAAAAGAAGAGAGCATCAAAGCACAGAGCTGAGAGGGCATTCCCAGTGCAGGATCAGTGAGCAGTGGTGCTGCTGCTTTCGCTAATTGGTTATTGGCAGATGTCACCTTTTTTTGCCATTTCTATTGTGTATTTGCTGCCATTTTTTCACAGCTGGATCCCAATTTCCTAACCCCAAGGTATCATCCCTACCCCCAAAGCCCTTGCATTTTTTCTAGCAATTGCTTCATGTGAATAATAGAATCTTCCAGCATGGATTTCAGAGGGTTTTTTAAGTATTTTTGGCATTATTTCCCATCCATTTTCCTTTCCCTCCATTACGTTCCATGTCTTCTAAACCCAGTTATCTTACTACCTCAAACATTGCAGGGGGAGAGAATAAACTCTAAATCACTTAAAAACCACTAAAAACAGTTTTGTCACTCAGGTCCTTGACAGAGGTCATTGCAAAAATGTGTCCTTCCAAATATTTAACACAGAGCTGGCCAATCCAAGTGGCTCAGCTGGCCAGTTTCTGGCTGGCACCTTTGTTGTTTTTATTGCTAAAGTCAGGGGGTTTGGGTTTCACATGTACTCCTTAAAGTTATTTCTTTCAGTTTGCCCTGTGCTAAAGTAATTCTTTTTAGTGAGAAACATCAGTTAATGACCAACAAGACAGAGAACTCTGATTTTTTTTTTTCCTTGATGAGGAAATGATGTCCTTGATTGGTGTGTGCTTGAATTTCTGCAGTTCCTCTGAATCAGCTGCAATAATCTGAATAACAGAGTGGTGGGGAGATGTTTGAAGCTGTGGGTTTTTGGAGTGTGGTCTTCTCCATGCAGCTTTGTACTGTGATGTGTTGTGCTGGACTGAGGTGCCACCAGGTGGGACTATCTGTGCTATGAAATCAGCATTTGTTCTTCCAGTGAGCTACAGATAGTTCATGGTTGGTTTTTTGGTTTTTGTTTTGTTTTCAGCCTGTCCAAGCTGCAATTGAAGACTGGAGATTTAGACCCACGCTTGTTTTCCCGCCTGAGACACCTGCAGAAACTTGATCTCTCTGATAATTTACTGGACAAATTTCCCAACAGCCTCACCCTCCCTGATCTGCGTGTCCTGAACTGCAACAATAACAAGCTGGAAGATGTGACTGCTCTGAAACAGTTCCCTCTGCTCGAGGAGCTGACCTATGAGAACAATGTGTACTTGACAGTGAGTTACCCCCTCCTTCCATTAAACAGAGAGAAAAACAAACAGCACTTGTGCAAAGTTCTTATTTATTGTTCTTGGGCAGCAAGTGCGAGGGCATTTGAGAAAGCAGCCAGCCTTTGTGTGACATTTAACCACTTTGTGCCACTGTTTCTCAATCTGCAGAAGTGATTTGCTTAAAACAACTCAGACATTAAAATCTGTGTCTTGATTCTCTAGGCCAAAGTCCTGTCTTAGGTGCCTTATCAGGTACAGTACCTCATGCTCATACTAAAAATTTTACTAGTGTAAAATACAGGAATGACTGTGTTAGAGATGTCCTTGCAGAAACACAGAATCACAGAATGGTTTGGATTGGAAGGGACCTTAATGCTCATCTTGTTCCACCCCCTGCCATGGGCAGGGACACCTTCCATAACACCAGGTGGCTCAGAACCCCATCCAGTCTGGTCTTAAACTCTCCCAGGGATGGAGCAGCCACAGCTTCTCTGGACAACCTGTGCCAGTGCATCACCACCCCCACAGTAAAGAGTTTTTTCCTAATATCTAATGCTAGTTTTATTTCCTAATATCTGTGTTAGTTTTAGTGCCCTCTGTGCTCTGGAAAAGCAGACTGGGGCCTCAGATGAGGGTTTAAACTTGGTGATTAGTCTGGTTTAGGTTTTGACTTCTCCCAAGAGGATCTGGTGACTGTACAAGTCAAACATCCAAAACTGATTTTACTTGTGCTGTAAGCTGGCATCAGCCACTCACCATCCCCACATGCTTATTTGTTGTTGCACACTGTTAGTATGTGTGTGGCTCTATGGTGAACTATCTGACCCAAGGAATTCATGCTGGAATTCCTTGACTGGAGGCAGGACAGGCCTTCCCCTGTGTTAGAGTTCAAGGATATGAACAGAGCTCCCAGCCTTGCACTCAGGCCCAGCAGATGAGCAGTCACACAGCCCCCACCTTGTGCTGGATGTTAGCACTGCCTGAGGCCTGGGCAGCTCTGTCTGCAGTTTAAGATTCCAACTCACAGAGAACATTAATTCACACCTAAAATGTGAAATTCAAGTTGAAAATCCTGAGGAGATTTTATGAAATGGCTTTTCCTTACTAAATATATCATTCTTATATAGGCTGTATTTTAATCAAGGACTAAAGATAAAGCATGTACCACATGTACAAATTTTGTAACTCCAATGTTTTTTCTCTTTCTAGCTCAATGATGACTATAAAGTAATGTTTCTTTTGCAAAATCTTCGTCTGCTCAATGGCAAGGACATAACCAAACTGGCCAACCATGTGAGGCGTGTCAACAGCAACAAGCTCACCAGCAAGGTAAGGTGTGGGATATTTCCTTAACCTCTAAACACCTCAAAAATAACTAAATCCTGTGCTCAGTGTAGTGACAGAGCTGCAAACAAGCTTCAAGTGGTTTGCAATACCTGTGGTATGATCTGCAGAATGGGCTACCCAGGAAATGTCTCACAGCTGGTTTCTCTGGTCACTGCTGGCATCTGCTCTACCTGCTCTGTGCAGGCAATTTGCCTTTGGTTTAAGTGACAGGAGCAGAGCCAACCAGGTCTGTGTCTGAGCCTGTAGTTTTTCAGGTCACTCTGATCATCATTCAGGAATGGGAGAAGCCTGGTGCTGCCAGAACAGCTACAAACACCTCCCCATCTAATTTAAGTTACTGTCCAGGCCCCAGGAATGGGAGCACAAAACCAGCCTCTGGATAATCCTGCTTTTTCCAGCATTCACCAGGAAGATGGATTTGTTCTTTCTTCTTCAGTTGTGAATGTTTAGAACTCTATTTTCACTCATTTGTCTACACAATTTAGCTCCTGACAGATTGTCTCCACAAGGCATCATTGTGATCTTGAGCAAAATTATTGTTCAATTATGAAAAAGATTTGATTGGCTGGCTGTTCTTGTGTATTACTGCTCTT